AGATGCTGAAGTTCTCCGAGAATGTTTCCCTGCTGGAAATAACAATTTTACAAGCTTCTGTATTCACTTCAGCCTCTTCCTAACAGGACCTCCTGTGGGGAGAACTCAGTATTTCTCATTATGATGATGGTTTTGAGTAAAACTTATAATTGTCTGCCAATGGCTGTGTATATTTTGGCAATAAAAAATCATAGTCTGCTTCCCTGCTAAATTTTCCTTAGCACCACTTTTGGAGTGGTGGGGGATGGACTGCAGTCTTTGCCAGGGCATCATGGCACTTCTTAGGATTTAGATTTCCCTGTAGCTGGAGAATGTGTTTTTATTTATGAAGTGCATTTTGCCATTTGCCATTTCAAGTAGTAAAAGCCATCACATTCCTCTGGGCTTCTGCTGCTGCCCCCCTTGGCAAGCCTTGGTTGTTCTTTAGTCCTCATAGGCAGTTCTGGTCTCTGCACAGCTCTCCTCCTGACCATGCCAGGAGAACTTTAATTCCTGTAGTAAAATGAAGTCTAATCTGGAAATGAGATCACCAGACAATGGAGTTACATTTGTCTTGACTTTGTGTTCAGTGTTGTTGCTCATTGCTTCTTATTTAGCACTTTTCTCAGTTGTTTGGAGTCTCTGCAGATATTAAATTACAGATTCTAAATTCAGCAAGCTGGGAGCCACAGGAGAGCTGGGCCTGCTTTACTCAGTCTTGCAAGTGTGCAGATGGGTGGCAGACACCTTTTTCAGTCTTACTTTGCACAGCAGTTCTTTTCCAAGGTTCATCCTACCATAGGTGACATGCTTCTTCAAGCTCTACTATTCATTGATTGTGTTGAATTTCTTTTTGTTCTTCTCTTGAGAAAATCTACTTGTTTGTCCAGTGGGGCATTTTTTATGCCATCCATATTTTCATGTCTGCTCCTACTTTATGTTTTCCTTCTGCCATCAAGTGTGCTGATGCTCATTTGTCTTCTGTATGGAACCAGTAGTGTTAGTAATTCCCTTCAATGCCCAAACTAGGAAATCATAAGTGCAATGGAAATCCTGAGCCCAACAAGGGTGGGAGAAGACAAGGAAACAGTTTGACTCAGGGAAAGAGGAGGAGCTGGCAGTGGTTAGGGTGAACAATCCTGATGCCACCATTCATGCACATCATCCAGTTCCCTGACCACGCTCAAAGCCCTGCCTGTGCTGTCCTGACTCTCTGGCTCGCTGCCTCATGGGAGCTGTCCCCCCAAATCTCTGTGTTCACCCACTGCTCTGCTCCTCTGGCGTGTCTGTTTGGGCTGCATTTGCCAAGTCAGCACATCAGCACATCTCACTGAAGAGTTCCTCTGAGCCTGCTGCAAGAATTTAAGGCAGTGAGTCCAGCTGGGCATGGAGAAGGGATGTGGCTAAAATACTATATAAAAAAAAAATCCCTTTGCTATCAATTTCAAGTCGTAGCACCTTCTTAATAATGCTTATGGTGCTGTAATATTAAACTCAAGAGTTCAAACATCCCAGTCCCACCAGTGCATGGGAGATGGATCCTGCAGCAGTCTTGTGTATACACGAGTGAGTGTAGAGTCACAGAGTGCACTGTCACACTTGAAGTACAAGCCTTGTTCCTCCCTAGCAGTCCTGCAGTTTTTAAGAGAAGTCATGTTCTATTTAGTTTTTGTGATTAGTTTAAATGTTTGCTTATGAATTGTGCCAGCTCTTGTGGGAACTGAGTTAAAATATTATCAAAACTTCTCAGAATAACTGGCAAATACAAGTGGTGGATTCCCAGCAAGACTATCTACTTTATAGTCTGCTTTATGGCATGAATTCTTATGGTACCTCAGCTCAGCACATCAGTAGGCTTGTCATCCACGTTCTGCGAAGCAAAGATTTCTGTATTTTAGAAGAAGTGGAGAGAGGTGCTGTGAGGTGCCCAGGACTGCAAAGAGCATCCTCTTTCGCCCTTCTTACACTGAGGAGCTCACATAGGTCTCTAAGTGACCCAAGACTTTTCAGTGAAATATTTGGAAATATATGTGTATAGTTCCCCTAGCCTCTTGCAAGGGAGGATCTCTCTGGCCTTTTTGGGAAGGGCTGAGTGTAGAGGAAAGGAAGAGGATTTTTTCTTTTGTTTTTTTTTTTCTTTCTTTCTTTCTTCAAATGAACTTGGCAACTCTGTAAAGTCTCCCTTGGGAAAGCAGCCCATCTCCTGGAAGACTGCTCTCAGTGCTTCCAGCTTCTTCTAAAAGAGTCTTGACAACCAAAAAGCAAAGAACATCAAGGGCTTTCTGAGCCTTTTAAGATTTATGGGTTCATTTGCAACTTGGCAGCAAGAGCTGGCCTCAAATGCATCTCAGCAGAGATACCAAATAGCAACAGCCTCTTACCCCTCTGTCCAAGAGCTGCCGCTGCCTTTCTGTTCGCAGCCCTTTCCCTTGCTCCAGGGGCTGACAAAGGCAAAGAGAATTCCCTGCTTTGGATAGTGCAAAAGGCCCTGCAGCAGGAGCTGCTGAGCCCCGTGTGCTTGTGCTGTGGTGGAACGGGGCGAACAGTCGCTGCTTTCTGTGGGCTCCTGGCCAGCAGCAGAGTTCCTCTCAGGCAAAGACACAGCGCTGCTGCTGAGTGCCCTTCCAACAAAATCCCCATGAGAAAAAACCCTCTGGGCTTGCCTCAAGAGCCAAGAGAAATCAAGTTCTGTTTAGCACCAAAGTCTGATTTATTTTCTCAGACACTTTCTCAGCAGAGTGCACAAAAAGATTCCTCAGTAAATATGACAGAAATTAAAAGAAAAAAAAATTATTAAGCATTGAGAGGGTTTTGAGCAACCACCAAATTCCTGTGCATCCTCAAAGGAGAAAAGTTTATGCATGTCTCCAGCAAGCCAAGGGCACCATATAAAGGCAGTGTGCCAACTTTCCTATGGATTTTTCAATGCTTTGTGTATTGAAATATGCATGCCAGACACAAAAATTAATGTTGACATGTGCAGTTACATCCTGCTCCATTGCTGTGTGTGTTTTCTGAATTCTGCCATTTGGGACTTGCTTTGTTTGAGGGGGTGGAAGGTATTTTTCCATTCGGCATCACACTTTGTCTGCAGCATTTTTTGAGGCATATCTCAGAGAATTTTTTTCATAGTTTTGTTTTAAGACAACTTCTAACCTTTATGTAAGATGTAGTGGATAAATTTATAAGCCACTTCAACAACCCATAGGACATATGGAAAAAAATTGCCATGTTCTGTGAACATAAGTCATACCTCCAAAATCCAAATTGCTGTTTCTTGCAGCCAACCACAGGGGCATAAGAAATTGAACAGCTACAGTATACTTATTTTCTGAAGATTCTTCAAAACCATCACCAAAAAAAACCTCAAAAACCAAAAAACAGAACTGATGGTTGTTTCCAGAGGGAAACAGGTCAGACTATCACTGCTTTCAAAAAATGCATCATGTAAAAATATCACTAAGGGTAAATTACTGCTACTTTTGTGAAAGCAACAGAATTACAACTTCTCATTGAGGACTGTGTTTAATTCCTGCCTGGAACTAACAACACTACACTTCAGAGAAATGAGATACTGCAGGGTTAGAGAGCTTGAAAATCCCCCCTGAATGTAGAAGAATCAGTTCTAAGAGGATTGAGGAAAAAACCAACAAAACCACCAATAACAACAATAAAAAAAAAAACCCTAAGTAAAACCCAGAAAATTAAGACATTATTGAGAACAAAGTGTTATAGATGAATATTTTATAATGTGTTAAAGCATTTTTAAAACATGTCATACTGACATACTTAAACTTTGGTATAATGCCAAAAACCTCCAGGGTCAACCTGACTATTTGAATTATAACCTGAAGCATTCAGTGGAATAATGCAGAGATTAGCTGCTTTACAGCTTACTGAAAATCAAACATGTCCTAACAGAACATAGTTTACGGTATAATTGCATTATGGGGCCACATTTGGTAATTAGGGTTAAATCAACAATAGATTTCTTGTTCAGTACAGGAGACACTTTCAAGCTTTTTTTTTTTTGCTTTTTCTTTTTTCTTTCTTTTTTTTTTTTTTTTCTTTCTTTCTTTAGCTTCATCTGGACTTCTGGATCTTTTTAATTACCAACCCCAAGCCCTCAGTCCACACCAGGACTTAAACTGAAGATGCCTTCCCTGACTTGATTTATGCCGTGTGTGTCCCTTTTCTGAGAAATAGACGTGTGTCTTCCTTCAGGTGCAGCTCCAGCCCCTCTGCTGGTGGCTCTGTGTGCTCTCAGCACTGCTTTAGAAGCACGAGATGGAGCTTTGAAAGATCACTGACAGGGGGCTGGGCTTGAATCAGGTTGACAGGGACCCAAAGCTGCCTTCTAGCAGAGAGCACAGCCCTGTGCTAGGGGAAGAGGCCAAATCCTCTTCTGTGCTGGCTGAGCAAGGAGGGACAGGCAGGTCATGGGAGAGCCCTCTCCTGGGGACTGGGGAGCACGGCTCTTTTATGGAAGTTGAACAACAGGTTTGGACTCTAAAAACACATCTGATTTTTTAGGGTGTTGATGAAAATCTGTGCCATCCTGAATCCAGTCACCTGTGAGGTTCAAATGCTGACAGCCCAGTAACCCCGAGCCCCTCCTGCTCTCTTTCAGGGGAGGTGGAATGCAATCCCATGGCCACAGAGGACAGCCTTTGCCTTGATTTGATGTTTATACTTGTATTCCTGGAGCAGCTGTAATCCTTGCCCTAACACCCTCTATAAACACTTAGTTAAGCTCAGAATAGCATCTTCTTGCCCTAGGATTTGTGCTTACTGAAAATGGTTTGCTCTGGAGGTTTCACAAGTTTCTGTGTCTTTGAATCATTAAAGTCCAGCAGGCAATATCACAGAATCACAGAAATAATTGTCTGAGTTGGAAGGGACCTAAAAGATGATCCAGTTCCAACATCCCTGCTGCCATGGGCAAGGACACCTCTTTTACTTAGACCAGATTGCTCAGAGCCCCACCCAACCTGGCCTTAAACATTTCCAAGGACGGGGCATCCACAACTTCTCTGAGCAACCTGTTCCAATGTCTCACCACCCAGAAAATTCAGAATTTCATCCTAAAATCTAACCTAAAGCTACCCCCTCTCAGTCTGAAGCCATTCCCCTGTGTCCTATCACTAAAGTTCCTGATTAAGCGTCCTGCTCTGGCTTCCTTGTAGGTTCCCTTCAGATACTGGAAGGTTTCTATGAGGTCTCCATGCAACCTTCTCCAGGCTGAACAGCCCCAAGCTCCCTAGCCTCTCTTCATAGGGGAGGTGCTCCAGTCCCCTTATCCTGGATGCTGGGGTACAAAGCCACGGCCTGGCTCATCACACCGTAGGGATAAGGGGAGCACAGCTCCCTGGGTGTGTTTTGTTGCAGGGCAGAGGGAAGCCTTGCAACCGAGGTGGGCCAGTAGTCCCTGTAAGAGGCACTGGGGTAAGCAAGGGCCTTGTGGAATAAGCCCGTTCCATCGCTGGAATCTGACAGAAGGGGCTGTCCCGGGGGCCGGCTGGGGGTGCAGCGGTGCTGCTGTGCCTGCTGCTCACCGTACAGGGGAAGGCTGTCAGGGAACAGAGCTGTGGCCTGCAGCAGAGCAGCGTGCTGGCTCTCCGGGCCCTGCTTGTGCTGAGCACCACCAGGGACGGAGTGGCTCCCGTGGCGCTCCTGAGCCCAGCCGTGCTCCCCGCACATCCCGCCTGGCGCAGCTGGGAGCGCTCGGAGCTGGAAAGGGCGCCTGGCTGAGCCGGCCTGCTCCAGGCTCTGAGGGTGATGGAGTGAGAACAGTTTGTGCCTGAGGCCAGCGCAGGGCTGAGGGCTGTCCGTGACCCCCCGGTCCTGAGAGGGGCACAAGGACCAGCTGCAGCCGTAGGTGTCACCGATGGACACCGCTGACATCTCCTCCAGGAGCGGCTCCGCCTGTGGCAAGCGCTGCTCCAGCCCCAGGTCAGAGGCAGGGCTGCCGGCCCAGGCACGGAATGTCTGCTCAGAGCAGCTCCCCTGGGACCTGCCTGGGTAGCAGGAAGGCCCAGAGCAGCCTCTGGCTTCCCGCAGAGGTTCTGTGCAGGCATCGCAGGGTGCAGGCTCTCCTCTGGCTGCGTACGGTGAGCGCTGACGCCTCTCCTCCTCCTTCCCCTGGGCTATCGGGACCTTTGTTTTGGCCCTGAGCTCATCAGCGACTGAAAGCTGAGCTTGATGTTGTCTCTCTGGATGGTAAAATTTGCATTTATTGCCATAGGTACATTTTTTACCTGAAAGAATAAAACCGAATCAGACAGGAAATTGTCACTAGCACCAACATCAATTGATGTGCACATCACTTCTCCCCAGCACTGGGTGTGATGAACACAGAAAAAAGGGGAAGTACTATTTTCAAACTCGGTACTATTGACTCCAGATTTAAATACTGCTGATATTAATAGCAGGGTGAAGCAGCAGTGAAAGGAAGTCTCTGCTATTTTGGAAGTGTCTGATATTCATGTTTCAGTTCCTGCACTCGCTGGACTGGGAGGCCTGCTGCTACAAAAGGTTGCTCTAAAAAATGGCATTGGGATTTACCTCTGAGAAACCTGCATGTTGCTAGGGGGCTGTCGGGAGGGGAGAGAGGGAGAGTGTTTGGATGGCCATTCCCAAGTGCAGCAGCAAAATCCACTCCACAAAGAGCAGTGTGTGTGGTCAGCACAGCCACGGCACCCGTGGTGCTGCGTGCAGGCAAGGATGGAGGGGCCAGAAACATCTGCTGCCTTTGCTGAGGCTGGAGCCACTGAAGCAGGAGGGGAAAAAAGCATCACACCTTTGAGCAAGCCCAAGTCCCTACCACACAAAGCAGGACAGCACATGGCAGTGGCCCCTAGCTGAGGGAGAGCACAGCTGGGAAGCAGGGGGCAGCTCACAGCATGGGCAGAAACCCACCATAAGGGCAAGGCTGCCATTTCCTTTCAGGCAGCACTGGCTTCTTGCTGAGGAAGTTACTTAAGGTGGGTCCATGCCGGCCTAGTGGATCATCGGGAGGCATAAACCTGGAAAAGTAAAAGAAGTCATGGATGTAAGCACATGTCTGTGCACACTGAGTGTCTCAGTGAAGTGCATTTCCCCTGGGCTCCTCAGCTATTAGGAAACTCAGGAGAGAAGAGAGGTTATTATGAACAGACTGAGGAGCACTCAGCCCAGCCTCGCAGGCATGGTGCAAGTGCCTGAATGAAAACCTTCTCTCAGCAGGGATGGTAAAGTGCCAGAGAGACCAGCTTCTTGTCTCTTCTAGCAAGCTATGATTGCAGAAACACTGGGAAAAGTCCTATTTTGTTGTGTAGGGGAATTACAGGTACTGCCAGTCAGCCTCGTCTCAAGGATTTAATGCTGCTTCTTACAGGAAACAGAAATTAAAAGATACCAAACCTTGGTTTAACATCACAAACTGGATTGAAAAGATGCAAAGCTGGTCACTAATGCTGCCATTCAAGTAGAAAAGTTCATAGAAGAGTGACATGGGAGCTTGAGGGAGTAGGAAACTCAAGAAACAAGATAAGAAATGCTGCAGTAAATTCCTTTCATAAAAAGTCTCATATATTCTGCTACTGCTGGGAGGTACACTGATGCCGGAGCTGACTTGGCCCATGATGTTTAAATTCTAGATCCTGTAACACCACCCATCTCTTACCTGTTACTGACAAAAGAGTACATGAGTAGTCGCTGCTCAATAAACCATTTCCACTCGGGGTTTTCATTTTGGAGATCCCGGTAGTGGTCATTGGAAACAATGACTCCGTCTTTCTCATAAGCGACTTTCACTATGTAGCGATCGTCGTAGCAAACCACCCTCTTGCCCTTCACCTTCCGAGAGGGTGTGTAGACCAGGATAGACTGCTTTTCCAGCTCCTCAAGAATGTGCTGATCTGGTGGGGGGATTGGCAGAAGTAGACGAGGGAAGCAAAAAAATAAAAGAGAAACTAATTAATTAACAATTAGTGACCAGGTCTCAATCATCTGCTAGAAACCTACAGGAATCTAAGGCTATTTCAGCACTTTATGAAATTCATGGTGCAATCTTCAGACGCAGTGATATCTGATGGTTATTTGGCAACTTGAAAATTAGATCTTTTACAAAAACATCAGCTTGTAAATTTTGAGGCACTTTTTTTTTTAATTTTTAAGTCTTATCCGTAAAAGAATGCCTTGAATTCTACACCAGAGTCTGATACTGAATCCCTGCAGTGCCCTTTTTAACCCTGCTGGATGTCAGAGGGGTAAACCAGCCCTGATGTAAGCTTTACCTGGAGATAAAACATGTGGGATAAAACACATGAACAAACTTTGAGGACACTCTGGCCTCCCGCCATTCCATCCCTGCAGGAAGGCCGATGTGCCTCATCTGCAGACACCAAGCTGCCAGCACGAACCTCGCTGATCTATTTCCAGACAAACAGAGTCTCACTCCCCTCCACAGACTTCTGCTGATACATTTTCTTCTCCTGGAAGGGGAACCCATGCACCCCCTGTGCTGGGTAGCAGCCTGACAGACAATAGTCATGCAGTAATGAACATCACTGTCTCCTGGCAGGCCTCACAAGCTCCGTAGACTCACTGCAAGCTGACAAACTCCTTCTTTAACTCAGCTTGGCAGCACCTTGTGCTTGTTAAGCAGAAGATTTAAAGCAGTGCAACAAAGCCTTGTAAGCAGTTTTAGCTGCTAGCCAGGAGCACTGAATGGGGCAATGAATTAATGACCCATTTAAGTGAAGGAAGACTGATACACAACTCGTACTGTGCTTTTCTTTACAGGGAAAAAATAAAACTGTGCTGGGTTCTTCACACCCCTCTGTCTCCAAACTGCACCTAATGGTTGCCAAATTACGGCCAGGATGGTGACCTACCTGCAATGGGGCTGTCTTGTCGAGGGGGTTCCTTTCTCCAGAGTGGGACAAAAACCTTGATGTAAGTGTGACCCCTCTCTCTAAACCAATCCACTGCCAGCTGGATCCCCCAGCAGGAGAACACCTCCTTGTTTCCATGACTATAAAAAAAAGAGAGAGGATGATGAGTCAAAGCTTTTATGAAGTTCAGAATTCTCTTTAATTGAGGCAGTAATGAAAAGGCAAAATAAACAGCTTTTGTGTCATTCACTCGTTTCCAAGAAAACAACCTGGCAGGGTGTCCTGGTGGGACAGATCCAAACACCTCCTCCAGCAGAGCCAAAGATTTATCTGAAACAGTCTGAATACTTAAAAACAGAGGTATCCTATCCCCCATTTCCATGACCCAAGCCTATTCCTTCCATCACTATCTCCATGGACTTAAGTTCTAAGGTACCAACAAGATGTTAGGCCTTGTCAAAGCTTTCACATGCCTTGTCTGAAAAAGGTTTGAGGAGTGAGAGTTTCTTCCTGCACGAGCAGAAACCCATGAGGCTGTCTTGTGAGAAACAAAATGTGGGAATTGTCTTCTGTAGTAACAGGGCCATTAGAGATTTTAAGGGCTGAAGTGGCTGCAGGTGTACAAGGTGATCTTTTTTGGAAACATGAGACAAAATATTGGGGATGAAAAACTGTAAGAGGCAGGATAGGAAATACAGAGAACCAAAAAAGGGACAAGACACCAGTGGAGATGGCCACAGGCACCTCAGGCCCACTTTCATCTTGCTCTAGTTGATGGATATTTTCTTCATTACACAGAGAGGTAGGAAAGCCCTAAGACAAGTGTTCTAGAGGTGCCAGCAAGGTGGGTTCTGAAGAATTCAATATGCAGCATAAGACAGAAAATAACCTCAAGGAAAACAACTGGGGGTGACATCCTTCTAAATGTGTCACCTTCCCTGAAAGTTCCTACTGCTTGGCACTCACTTATCTAAAATTTGACTACAGTGCAGTGTGTGTGTGTAAAGAAAAGCAGTTTGTTAACTGCCTCTGCACAAGGAAACTAAAATAAACTGTACACAAAGTCCTAAATGGATAAATGTCTTCTCAGTATCTACAGAATCCTCATCCTTGTACTTTGGCATTTTTGACCTTTCTGTATAATATTGCCAGTCTCTCTCAGGCTTTCACCTCTGCAAAAAGCCCCTGGGAATGACTCTCTTGGCTGCTACACCCCTTGCACTGACAGACCAGTCAAGGGTGATGCCGCAGTCTTACACGAGTCACCACCTCCCAGGGATTCATCTCTAGGATCTGTCTACACCAGCCTCATAACCAAAGCTCCACTTTACACCCAATAAAAGTTTCTGTCCTGAAGTGGTGACCACAAATGAAAAAGAGCACAATTTGTAGGAAGACATTGCCTATTAAGAGCAACCAAGGCAATAGGAAGTAATTTAAAACCATTAGCAATAATAAATGGTCGGAAGTGCTTGACATATCTAATCTCCACTTTAGAACAGCTGTTTTGTTTGGTTTTAAAGGATAGGATCTTCTCAGGATATTCATAATATCACTTGGACTGTTGAATTGGAACTTTGGGTGACTTTTTCAGATAACTGCCTTTAAAAGGCAGTCCAGGTACATCTTTGATGCCACGACTCAAAATTCAGCAACAGCTTTCTTAAATATTGGCTATTTGTATAATCCTGTGGGCTTTAGGAAGGCAGTTCTAGGTGTACCCCAGTGCAGAAAGTACTCAAGTGGGTCAGCCAAAAGGCTGAGTGGAACAAGGAAGATGAGGCACCTGGAAGTGCTCTCCAGCATTATCACCTAATCCAGCTGCTGCTCCACTTCTAAGGGCAGACCTGGGGGCCACCTGAACCAGCCTGTTCGTGTGTGGGGGCTGCACACCAGTGACTGCTGTGCAGTGGAGCAGGGCCCTCAGAGCTTCCCACCCTCCCTGCCTGGACACAGACTGGCTCCTCCTGTCAGTCACCTTTCCCACACAACCCCAGAGTCCCTGGACCATAACCCATCCATGATCTGTCATAACTCAGTCTCATCTCTCCCTCCTGCCAGCAACAGGGCACACTGCACCTGGGTCACAGACCAGCAGGGGCCATCTCTCAGAAAATGAAGCAGCAACATTTGGCATCTTTGTGACTCCAGCAGTTAATCCATCATTAGCATGCAGCAAGTCCTCTTTAAATTGTGTCATCCCAACTCCTTTGAGAGGAAGTTTAGGCAAACCAACCTCTTTTGAAAACTGCAAATGGCCCCTTCTCCACCCGGTCATGAGGCAGCATCAGCCAAACCCTTGTCAGAAAGGCCTAGGAACAGGTCTCTGTAGTTACCACAGCTTTAAACCTAGGTGTAAGTGCAAGCACTAGAGGAGATAGCAGCCTCTTAGGTGTGCAGTCAACATGGCTATGACACTTCCCTTTTCCTATTAACACAACTCCATTTGTTTTTCCACCAGCCTTACAAAACTTCCCATGGATAGGCTGGCAGGTGGTGAAATTTCTCATTACATCTGATGGAAACACAAAGTGTACAGAGAGGTTTGATGAGTGAGACTGGCTGAAGGCAAGGTTATTTTCCATTCAGCTTCTCTGGCTGACTGATGGTTGGAGACTGCTGAGTCCATCACTTTATTACCCTGGGGCATCCTTTTCAAAACCTTGCACTCTACAGTGGGCCCGCAGTGACAACTTCAAAATGCCCCAGAAACACCAATCCTAAGATAGAAATATAAATGCTCAAGATATTTTTCTCCACACAGACAGCTGCCACTTGAAGCTCTAACTTGATTGTTTCATTCCTAAACTGCTGCTTCTGCTGTGCTTTTATGATTGCCAGTATTGATGATGATGGAGTTTTCCCCAGAAAGGGAACCAAACATCCCTTTCCCCTGACATCTGCAAACTGTCCTCTGTCTGACAGCAGCAAACCAGAAAAATTAAAGCAAAGGTACTGAGAGCACTGACCAGGCCTACCCCATTAGCCAAAGCAACCATTCAGCACCACACTGAAAGGCATCCAGGAGAGGAAAGCAGCTCCTTCCAGGCTGCGCCCTTCCAGTACCAACTGAACGCACAAGCTCGATAGTCTCCTCCATCATCCACACAGTTGTCACCAAGACAGTGGATGGGATGTCTGAGAAGAGCTGCAAAACCTTTGCCTTTCTGAAACTTAAAGCTGCTGTGCCAGGAGAGCTGAGGCCAGAGGCCATGGCCCATCCTGGGTAATACTGACCCCGGCACAGTGAAAGGATCAGTGAGGGATCAGCTCAGTCACACTGCCTGAGTGGGTGCTCAGTTCTTTCTCAGAGAGGCAAGAAAGACACTCCGAGGAGGGGCTTGGGTGAAGAGGCAAAGCGGGGCAGGAGATCCTAAAACCTGGTTACCAAGCTCACGGCCCAGACAAGGCCAAACAAGTGTGCTCTGTTGTGCATTTCCCACTCCTCGTGAGCTGCCTTGAGCAGGGAACCTCTTGGTTTTGGCTGGGATTTCTCCCTTCACCCACAAGATGGCATAATTTGCTTAGTCGCCAGTTGCTCTGGATGTGCTTGGACACTTTTCTCTCTAACCAGAGGGGATATGGTCTCATCTCATCTCACAGGACGGCTAACAGAAGGAGGAAGCTTTCCTTTGCCCTGTCCCAGCCTGCAGGGATGGGCTTGGCCCTGCTGAGTGGACAGGGAAATTAACAGAGAAAACAGCTGGATAGCCAGTGCACCCCCGACTCTTGGCTCCGTATTGCTTGGATAAACAGAGGCCAACCCACTGCTGTCTTTGGATGTCCCATCCACAGGGACATGCCAGGCTCCCCATCTGCAAGAGCACTTTCACAGTGCCAGGGCACTGCTAGGAAATGCAATTGGCCAGCATGGGTTGATGCGACATTTCCCAGAAACAGAATGACTAAGGAGGAAATGAATCTATTCAATAAAGCCAACTATCAATTCCCTGATATTTCCCTAAAACAGAAGCCAAATTTAAAACAAAAATTATAGAAGCTGGGAACGTTTTTTGGAGTTTGCTTGCAAGTCAAAGCAGTACAACTGTAATATTGTTAGGAACTGCAGGCACCTGACTTTATTTCTCCTCTCCTTAGATTAGTTGGGTGCTCTGTCTGTCTGCTCATCAGATTTTCCCTGAAAACATCTCAGGCTTAGAAATCCTAGGTGCCCATTTGAAAAGGGAGAGACACTGCCACAAACAGTGGACAGAGGTTGCCTTATAAAAGGTCAGAATGGGGAGTGAGCCAGTAATTGCATGTGACGTGCATATTCACGGGCATCAAAACAGCAGGTCCTTAAAAGCTGTGCATCAGCCAAAGAACAGGAATAAGCAATTGTTCATACATCAAATGCACCAATGCACGTCTCACCTGAAGGAAAAACACACTTCAAGCCATCAGTTTTAACATTCAAAAGTTTTAACATTCAGAGGAAGAGAGATGCCTTTCAGGAAACGGAGCTTACCTCATGGCAACATTGCTGCCGTCGATCACAATGGGTCTCAAGGAATCAGAAGAATCACTTTCATCTTCTCCAAGCCTCTTCAGCCCCGGTGTGCTGCTACAAGATCCACGGGCAACCAGCTTTAGCTGGGAAGGCTGAGCCTGGTTCTCCAGAGCCTGAGGTTTGCTCCCCATCCGAATCAGCTCTTTCAGCACATCATCCTCCAGGGCCTCTTGGCCCAGGTTCTCCAGCACTTTGCAGATGTCCTGCTTACCATAGCCCAGCTTGCAGAAAAAATCCATCTTGCTCTGGTGCACTTCCACCCCTGCTGCAGAAACTTTTCTGGAGTGTGGTGGCGCTGCTTTGCTAGGAATTGAACTGGCCAGTGCCATTTTAGTGGGCATTTATGTTCCTCTAAACCTGGTGATCCTGTCTTCCCAGCTGTGTCCCACAGGCATCAGCTTCAGAGAGGGAAAGATTAGCAGCAACAAAACACAAGCATTAAGGAAAAGCATGCAGTCATCTCAGTTCTTTGCCTAGGGCACAGCAGAGACCAGCAGATTAGTGTCTTCTCTCAGCATTAAAGCAATTTTCTGGTCCGTTCTTAATTAGAAAAGCACCAGAGTGTCCCATGCAAATGTTCGTCACTCTCCAAACATTATGTCAGACAGGTGTCACCTTACTTGGTGAGCTGTGCCAGGCTGCCTGTAAGCAGACAGGCTGCATGCGTGAGTTGGTTCTTCAGACTTATCTCACAGGAAATGACACAAAGGGGATTTTCAATTTGCTGTGTGGTTTGTCAGCCTGAGATAAATATCTGTCAAATTTTACTGGATGGGCTCAGATGCCATAGCAACAAGTATAGCAAATTTCATCCAGTGATTTCAGGAAACATGCTGTTTGCAAAATATCTGGAAACTGATTTTTTTTTTAATAGTTTTATCTTTCTTACTATGTGTCTGTGCATATACAGACATAAGTTCTGAAATTCTGTCACTCATCAGTTCTAATGATGCCTGACTATTCTTTCCTTGTTACTTGCTGTTTCACTGGGGGCTTCTATTTTCAGAGAAGCGGTTTGGTTTTTTTGAAAGCCGTGGGGACGGTGCTTTGAAGCAGGTGATCTGGAAAGTGGCTTCAATTTCACCTGTCAATTATTCCACTTATCACTTCACTTACCAATTTCACTTACGTTTATTGTCAAGGTAATTCAGAAGTGAGTGTGCAAAAGTAGCAAAAGCTACTTTATATTCTGCACCACGTAACTTTCTGGTCTATTCAGCGAAGGCAGGGGATGGGCACCATAGTCAGGGGTACCCAGAGCTGCCTGAGCCCAACGAGTGTGACACAGAACATACATGGTGCCCACTTGTCCATCAAGCCAAACACCTTCAGTCACTGTTGGCTTGCTTGCACTGAAGCATCTCTTGCCACATCACTGCAATTATTGGTGCTACCTGGTTAAAAGCTGGGGCTGGTTCTTCCACCCACATGAGGGATGTAAGGGTGGCCCTCTTCCCTTTGCTGATGGCACAAGATGCAGAATTAACTGATCAAACAAGCACCTCTGTGCCGAGCCCAGAGCCAGAGCCAATCCCACCCACCAGCTCCCCTTCACAGCCCACCAGCCACTCCCTGCCCAGTGTGGACCACCCCAGGAGCCAGAAACTGAAAGCATGTGGAAGAAGGCATGGAGAT